CCTTGAGATGTGCCTGCATCCCGAATCGGTCTTGTGTTGCGGGCCCCAGGGCCCGCACAGGCCCCTAGAGGCTGCAACATGGAAAGAAGCTCACGGCCCCTCTCTCTCTCTCTCTCAGGACCCCTTCTCCTTCGTGGCGGCCTCACCAGGGCGAGAAGAAGCGGCAGAAACATGCTTTCTGGCAGGTCCAGGAGATCTGCGTGGACCTCCGAGAATTTATGTTTGTGCAGTTTTTTGCTTTTCGACTCCCCTCCCCCCACCCCCACCCCCTCCCCTCCCTGTCCTCGCCCTGATCCTCCTCCTCCTCCTAGTGCTGCCCCTCCTTTCCTCTTCGTCTTCCTCCTCCTCCTCCTCCTCCTCCTCTTCCTCCTCCTCATCCCCTCCTCCTCCTCCTCCTCCTCCTCCTCCTCCTCCTTGTTCTCTTTCTCTTTCTCTTTCTCTTTCGCTTTCTCCTCCTCCTCCTCCTCCTCCTTCTCCCCCTCCCCTCCGACTCGAGGCGAGCGAGGGAGTGGGCCGGCAAGAACTTCTGCCTCAGCAGGGTGTGGAGCGCGCCGCCCAGGGCCAGGCGGTCCTGCCGCTCGGAGGCGCAGACGAGGAGGACGCTCTCGAGCACCCGCTGGCTGGCGACGGACGCCGCCCGGAGGTCGCCCCCCAGTCCTCCACGCCCGCTGGAGGTGGGACACCAACCATACACTGTGCACGAGTGACCATAGGTACGAGTGACCTGTGGTGCACGGCTTCAGGGGGCCGCGCGGGGAGACCAGATCCACGCCCGCTTGTCGAGGAACAAACCATGACAGAAACAGAAACTCTCGACTGCCTGCGCGGATTTCTAAGATCTGCGCTGGGCCTCCCTGGCGGGGCCTCCGGCGCCGCCCCTGGCGCGCTCCGCGCGCCAACGAGGGGGGTTCAGCGCGATCCAGCGAAGTCCTTCACGCCTGCTTGGGGGGGGGGACGCCAGCCATACACGGTCAGACACTTTGTTTTAGCGTGTCGCAGCGGAGGCCCTGGCGACACGCTGTGCCCTGCGAGCGGATAGTGTGCCGCTCCGCTCCACGGGGCGGGCGGCGGGGAAAGGCTCGGGACGCTGACGCTTGGGAATGGGCACGTGGCTAGCGCGCAGCGCCGAAGCGTGGTGGGCCGGAACCGGCGGCGCGCCACCTAGCTGAGGGCCCCTCCTCGGAGGAGGGGGAGGAGGAGGAGGAGGAGGAGGAGGATGAGGGGGGGAGAAGGAGGAGGAGGAGGAGGAGGAGGAGGAGAAGTAGGAGGAGGAGGAGGAGCAGGAGGAGGAGGAGGAGGAGGAGGAGGAGGAGGAGGAGGAGGAGGAGGAGGAGGACGGTGAGGAGGAGGAGGAGGAGGAGGAGGAGGAGGAGGATGATGAGGAGGAGGAGGACGTAAAACTCGGAGACCTGGAGGTTCTCCCCGACTGGTGAGGTGGTCGCAGGCCGAGTCGCCCACTTTGGGCGTAGAGGCGCCTGCCTGCTAGGTGCACGCCGCTCAGGGGTGGTGCCCACGGGTGTTGGTTTCGCTTTCGCGATGCCCGCCGCCGCGCTCATGCACCGTCGAACCACACCCCAGTAAAAGCCCGCGTGCGCATATCGGCACGCCCATCACTCGCATCGTGACCCGACGGGGAGCTCCACCCCGTGGGCCCGACCGCACACGGGGCGGTGCCCATCTCGCTCATTTCCGCGCTGTCCCGAACTACATCCCTTTCTCGGCGCGCAGTCGATGAGGAGAGAGGACCACATCCTGCGCTACACCTCGCCAACCTAATTTGTTTGAAGACGCCCTCATTCGCTCACGCCGTCAAGGGAAAACGGGTCTTGACGGAACCTGGCACAGGAGGAATGGTGTTCACCCAGCACGGGCTTCCAATCTTGAGCCGTTTTTGGATGGCCTCGGAGGCCTGGGAGGGGCCACCGTGAGGCCGAAAACGGCGAAACACCGCAGGCCCAGTTTCCCTCGAGCCCAACGACCCGATCAACTTTTCGTGTTCCTTTTTTGTTTTTGCTTTGTTTTCTTCTTCGTTAAAAGAAAAGCACGGGCTCACAAGGGCCGAAAACTGCGAAACGCCTCCGCCTTGTTTGTCGGCGGCGAGCGGCGGCGAGCGAGGGGGGGAAGTGAGCGAGGGGTCTGTCGGCGGCTAGCGAGGGGGGGCAGTGAGAAGGAGAAAGCCTTCTCAGAAGGTTCGGACGTCCCCCGGCCTTCCGAGAAGCTTTGTAAACCTCCCCCGAAGACGAACAAGAACTTCTCCGAAGGCCCGAGGGCTTCTGAGAAGTCCCGCCGCCTTCTGAGAAGGCCTTCTCCTTCTCACTTCCCCCCCTCGCCGAGTCTGGGTCAGGACCCCTGTTTCCTCGGGGCGAACCCGCGGGGGTCCTCCGCACTCGGCGAGGCGCACGACGCACTCCAGGCAGATGCGCCGCAGCTCGACGCAGCGGCGCCGCCGCAGCTTCCAGGCGCTGGCCGCGCAGAGCTGCACGAGGGACAGCCAGTCCTGCTGGAGGCTACCCGGGGTGCTCCCCAGCCTCCGCGCATCTTCGAGCCTCTGGGGCCCTCGTGGCCTCGCGAAGGCTGCGCTGGAGGCCGCCTGGGCCACCCGGGAAACGCCGGGGCTCCACTCTTGGACAGGTTTCCTCTGGCCCGGGACTGGCGCGTACGCCCGCCTGGCCCGGCCTGGACTGGAGGGCAGGAAATCCACCCCGGCAAAGATCACCCCGACGCGCGAAGCCGTTTAGCCAACGCACCCACCACGGAAGGAATCGAGCAGGGCAGGGTTGCTTGATAAAAGCCCAGGGCCATGCAGTGGGCGCCACTCGTCGGGTGCAGGTGGTGTTTCCTCCCTTGATGAGCGGCATGTGCACCGACCCTGGGCCCAGGACTGGACCGTGGACAGGATCGGTGTGCGCAGATGTACGGCTTGCGTCGTCGAGGGGGAGGTGGGATCCGGTGGGATCAGAGAATGCGTCGACGACGCCTCGCATGCCGCCAAGGGGGGGGGTGGTCCCCCCCGGAGCCTGCACAGCAGACCGCGCCACGAGGCGCCCCCAAGGAACGCCCGCCGCCCCCCCCCCTCCTCCTCCTCCTCCTCCTCCTCCTCCTCCTCCTCCTCCGCTTCCTCCTCCTCCTCCTCCTCCTCCTCCTCCTCCTCCTCCTCCTGGGTCGGCTCTAGGGAGAGACCGCCCCCCCCAGACCTGCGAAAACTCAGGACCGAGCCTCCTCGATACTCGACCCTCCCTCCTGCTAGTTCGACTCGCCGCTGGCTCCTGCTGGCCGACCCCCCTTGTGACCGATCCTTGCCCGGCCCCGTCTCGGCCCAAGATTGGCCGCCGTCCGCCATTGCGACTGCTGCCACCGTCGGACACCGCCGCCGCCGTCGGCCGCCGTTGCCGCGGTCATCGTCGGTCTTGCCGTCGCCGTCGGTCGCCGTCGGCGTCCCCGACTCCTGGTGGTTTTCGAACGATGCGGGTATCCCCAGACAGCCCTCGACGAGGCGCAGCTGCTGGAGAGCACCCCGAGGTGAGACAGCCTCCGAGAGCCAGCGAACCTTCCTCGCCTTAGCACGGGGGAAGCGGGTCCTGAGGGAAACAGGTCCTGGAACCTTGGGAGGACCACTTCTTCATCCTGGGTCCTTTTTCTGACAACCTGGGGGGCCGTGGAGGGACCCGAGAGCCCGAACACGGCGAAAAAGCTCAGGACCCGTTTCCCTCAGGACCCATCTCCCCCATCGCGATCGCCACTCGCCCTTCGACGTCGGTCGCCTTCGTGCCCGCAGGTCCTGGGCGCCCGCGGCGTCCTGCAGGCCAGGCGAGCGCATCGCCGGCAGCAGGCGCTCACGCACCAGGGCCTCGGCCCGCTGCTCCTCGGGCTCATCGAGCGCCAGGCGGAGCTGCTCGGCGAGCTCCTTCGGCGAGCCCACCGTTCGCTAGGCCACCGACAGGACGACGACGAGGAGTGCCCGTGGCTCATGAAACGACGAGGAGGCGGATGAGGAGGAGGAGGAGGAGGAGGAGGAGGAGGAGGAGGAGGAGGAGGAGGAGGAGGAGGAGGGAGGAGGAGGAGGAGGAGGAGGAGGAGTAGAGTAGTGAGTAGGAGTAGGATTAGGAGGAGGAGGAGGAGGAGGAGGAGGAGGAGTAGGAGGAAAATGATGATGATGATGATGATGATGATGATGATGATGATGATGATGATGATGATGATGATGATGATGATGATGATGATGATGATGATGCTGATGATGCTGATGCTGCTGCTGCTGATGATGATGATAATGATGATGATGAGGAGGAGGAGGAGGAGGAAGATGATGAGGAGGAGGACCAGTGTAAACCCGATAGTCATCAACGATGCTGGAATTCATCCTCCCTCCAAGCTCCCTCTTCATAGGCCCCTACAACGGTTCATTTCCATTGAGGAAGCTGCCTCGTTGGAAGACAACCGTTTGAAGACCCTGAAGCATGCCAGAACATCGTTCTCGGGATTTGAAAGAGCGTGTTCTACCGCTGCTGGCGGAAAACCGGGGGGGGGGGTCACTACCGGTTCGAACCCCTCCCCCCCCCCTCTCCAGAAAACCGTGGGGGTCACTACCGGTTCGAACCCCTCCCCCCCCCCCCCAATTCATAATGAAAAGCGGGGGGGGTCACTACCGGGTCGAACCCCCCCCCCCTCGAAAACCGGGGGGGGTCACTACCGGTTCGAACCCCCCCCCCTCCTCGAAAACCGAGGGGGGGTGCGGACAGTGGTGGGGACGGTGGTGGTGGGGACAGTGGTGAGGGGACAGCGGGACAGTGGTGGGGACAGTGGGACAGTGGTGGGGACTGTAGTGGTGGGGACAGTGGTGAGGACAATGGTGGGAACAGTGGGGACAGTGGACAGTGGTGGGGACGGTGGTGGTGGGGACAGTGGTGTGGGGACAGGGGAGGTGGAAACAGTGGGACAGTGGAGGGTACAGTGGTGGTGGGGACAGTGGTGAAGGCGGTGGCGAGGACGGCGGTGGGACAATGGGACAGAGGTACAGTGGGGACAGTGGTGGGGACAGTGGGGACAGTGGTGGGAACAGTGGGACAGCTCAGTGGGACAGCGGAGGAGTCAGTGGGACAGTGGGGACAGTGGGGATAGTCGGGCAGTGGTTGGGGCCGTGGAGCAAGTGGGGAGAGTGGAACCGTGGTGGGGACGGTGGGGACAGTGCGACAGTGGTGGGAGCACTGGTGGGGACAGTAGGGACAGTGGTGGAACCAGTGGGGACAGTGGTGGTGAGGACAGTGGTGCTGGGAACAACAGTGGGGGATGTGGCGCGGACGGTGGTAGGGACCGGCAGTCGTTTGCTGGCGGTGAGTGGGATGGGTGGGGAGGGGTTCGAACCGGTAGTGACCCCCCCTCCGGTTTTCGAGGGGGGGGGGGTTCGAACCGGTAGTGACCCCCCCCCTGGTTTTCAAGGGGGAGGGGGGGGGGGGGGTGGGGTTAGGGGAGGGGGGGGGTTTTGCCGGGGGAGGGGGGGGGGGGGTCCAGCAAGGGGGGGGGGGATTTTCGGAGGGGGGTGGGGTGGGGACCCCCGGGTTCCGGAGGAAGAGGGGGGCAATTTTCCATAGTAAAGCGGCTGTGGATCACGCTCTCTCTGGGATTTCAACGCCACGGATCAACCTGACTGCTGCGTTTTGCCGATCCGGAATCGCGCCAGAACGCCTTTTTCGGGACTTCAACACCGCGAGTCAACATAACAGGTGCACCCGCGTAATCCTGAATCCGTCCCAAGCACCATTTCTGGTACGTTGATCATGGGAATCCGTGAAACACTTACGAACTTTTTATGTCGGTTGTGCGCAACGCTAAAGTGGGAATCACATTTTGAAAAAAAGCCGCCCTCAATCCGTGAAGCTCTTGGAATCTTTGAAGCGAATGTGCGCGGAGCTAAGGCGAGAACCACACCTTGAAAACCACCCGCCCTCAATCCGTGAAACTCTTGCATTTTTTGAAGAATGTGCGTGGTCCTTAGGCGGGAGCCACATTTTGAGAACGACCCGCCCTCAATCCGTGAAGCTCTTGCAATTTTTAGCACGAATGTGCGCCCTCTATCTGTTAAACTGGTGTCACTTTTTAAGCTTCAAAGTCATAAATGGTGAGGAAGTCTCAGGTGAAACGCCGGACCCGCGCTAAAAACTGGCCTCGGGGTGCGACAGGGAGAAGTCATTGTTTAGGAGAAGAGATGGAGGAGAAGCAGGATCAGGGAGGAGGAGGATGAGGATGAGGATGAGGAGGAGGAGGAGGAGGAGGAGGAGGAGGAGGAGGAGGAACAGGAGGAGGAGGAGGCCGAGGAGGAGGAGGAAGAGGAGGAGGAGGAGGACGAGGAGGAAAAGGAAAAGGAAAAGGACGAGGAGGAGGAAGAGAAGGAGGAGGAGGAGGAAGACCAGTGTAAACCCGAGAGTCATCAACGATGTTGGAATAACCCCTCCTCCCAATCTCCCTCTCCATAGGCCCCTACAACCCGTCCCAAACACCATTTCTGGTACGTCCATCATGGGAACCCGTCGAAAGTGTTACAAGTTTTGAACAAGAATGTGCGCGGCGCTACGGAGCCTAACCGCATTTTGAAAACCACCCGTCCCCAATGCGTGAAACTCTGGCAAATTTTGAAAACGAATGTGCGCGGCGCTAAGGCGAGAATCACATTTTGAAAACCACCAGCCCTCAATCCGTGAAGCTCGTGCAAATTTTGAAAACGAATGTGCGCGGCCCTAAAGCAATAACCACATTTTGAAAACGACCCGCCCTCAACCGTGACACCCTTGCAAATTTTGAGCACGAATTTGCGCGTCGCTAAAGCCACATTTTGAAAACGACCCGCCCTCCAGCTGTGAAACTGTTGCTGCTATGTCTAAGTTTCAGAATTTTGAATGGTGAGGAAGTCTCAGGCGAAACGCCTGGCCCACCCTAGAAACTGGCCTCGGGGTGCGACAGGGAGAAATTCTTTCTAAGGAAAAATAATGGACGAGGAGGAGGAGGAGGAGGAGGAGGAGGAGGAGGAGAAGGAGGAGGAGGAGGAGGAGGAGGAGGAGGAAAAGGAGTTTTTGCCTGGCGGGCAAGGCCTGCTGTGCTGAGCTCGGCTTGCGCGGCCTACTACCTTAAGGCCGCCGGCGCACTGATGAATTGATCTCCTCGCCGAGACGGTACGTCGGGAGGGGGACTGGGGTGGACACGGAAGACCTGTCTGGAGAAAAGGAGGCGAGGGGGCGAGGGGGCAGCGGAGACGGCCGGAGCCGACCGCCTAGTCGGACATTTCGGGAGCGCCGGTGTCGTCCCCCCGACCCTCGCCGGAAGAACCCAGGGCGTCCCCGAAGCGAGAATCAAATGCGAGCGCACCTAGCGGCATCGGCCGATCGTCCGTGAGCGTCTGGCCAGTCCGAGGGTCTCGCGACTCCCATAAAAGGTTGAATCGGAAAACCGTGGCCGAGCCTCGCACGATGCCTCCAGAGCATGACGTCGCTAAGGAAATGGCGTTCTCGA